TTGTATAATTCATTTTCTGGTGTGCGATTCAACAGGGAGAGCAATTTTTGGATTGCCTTTTTAAATACGTGACTTAGCTGAAGAAACGTTCTATTTTCGTTTTGTGGTCGTGAGTTCTAGACGGAATTGTTCTTCACTGGGTGATTCAACATCGGTTTATTCCGGCCTAGTTTAATGCTTCCATCTTATCTTCTAAGCCAAAAAAACCAATTGTGATGAATTTGTTCTTATTCTTCATACCCATATAATACTTAGTGTTCTTTAGATCTGGGAAAGAATCTATGAGAGTCTCTGTTATGTTATGTCCGATTGCCTTCGGGTATGTCTGAACGTTCTGGGAACTATTATCAGCTAAGATTGGATAATCGCAAAATTATACTGTTGGACAACACGGCCGTCCACCTTCCAACGACCGTATGCTTGCCATATTTGTTATCTACTGGTTTGCTTCAGGTTTATTCGCATCGCTGATGCACACTAGAGAAATTTCAAAGCTCTATTTGTCGAGCGTCAGCTTCGTGTTATTTAGAGAAAGAAAGAAAGAAAGAAAGCTTTGGAAAAATCACTTCGCCCAACAGCTGAAACGTCACCAATTATTTTTGCCGTTTGGTAGGTCAGAGTGCCTCGCTGTCAGGCACCTACAAGTCTCCACGGTGGTTTGGACTAAATTATAGCAGAAGTTTCTGGTTTGGTTTACGCTTCGCTCCGTATTTGATCGTTTCAAACATTCGAGGAAGACAAATGTTAGCGATATGCGCTTCTTGATACGTTTACTTCACGTATTTTTCCTCTGAAGTGCAGGCATATTATGGCCAGTGAACTGAATGCGTTAAAAGCGTTTTAATTAGTTTAATAAAAGCAAGTACAACTGGGTAAAAAAAACAGTCGATTAGCCACTTTAACCTGTTGACGTGCAGGAAGTGTTAACGTACAAATGCGTGAGAAAATTCAGGTGTTGCACTACTATACCCATTACGCAGTAGAGAAGTTACCGTCTACGTCTTGTTTGTCTTTCAAGAAGTAGTCGTCGGGAAAGGTAGACCAGGTAAGTAATTTCAGCCAAATCTTAACAATATAAGTGCAATGCACTCAAAAGTTGCTCAGAAAAAGCAATAAATTTTAAATCGGATGCTGGAACTACTCAAAATCTCACGCAGACGATATTTCAGCCAGTCTATGACAAATAACACGATGCCTGTTTCCTCACAGAATAGCTGTTGAGGTTAAAGCAAGGAAAATCGCCATAGTGGCAAAAATCTTAAATAACACGTATGGTACCGTGTGATGATTGAGCTATCTATAATAACTCATGTTATTACTAGGGAAAATTTCCTAGGGCACTCTGTATTAGCATGATAAATATTTAGTTAGAAGAATGTGTGCACTTTCGTGTTTATCATAGTAATCAGACTATTAAAAATCATATCATTCACATTAGCGTCAGAGAAGGAGTCTTTTTAGCTTTCTGACTAGACGTCAGAACACCTTGAGTTCAGACGCCTATGAAAAATGCACTTGTACAGCATCATCTATATGACCTACTGCACCCAGTTTCATAGCTGCTCTCGAACTGTATGACCGTTAGCGGCACAGGTATCCTCGCTCGGTCTAGTGCACGTCGGCAGCACGACGGCATGTCTTGCTACCTTAGCCAAACCTAGGAATTTTCATAATCTACCCTACGATCAGAGAAACAGCAAACGTAAAAATGAAAAACGAAAAGAAAGACTATGATTGTGTTGAGCACCTGATCTTTTAAGTTATTGAAACTGTCTATATCAATATTGACAAACGGATCCCTTTTTCTGATAAATGGCTGTACGGTATTCTGCTATCGGATCAATAGACATCGGTAACTATTAAATTTTTTTGTCTTCTAATCAAGAATAGCGCATTTGATTGATTGATTGATTGATTGATTGATTGAATATAAAATTGTGTGGAATAAAAGGCTTCTGCATTAGAAAATTCAAATTGTTCACGCGTCATAACCCTAAGACGGGTATATCAGGAATATTTTCTAGTATTTTAGTACGACATGCATCTCGCTCATCGGTTCGACTTAGCCTCATTCACAGAGGAAATTATGTGCCATCGTGCCTCAGTTGGGGCAATACTTATACCGGGATTGAACTAAATGTCTCCAGAAGCTGATCGAGATTTCTCGATGAGTACACAAATGGAATTTGCAAGACCTATCTATAGAACAAGCTTGTAAACGGCATGACAAGTACAGGGTGTTCAAAAAGATCACACACCTTCAAAACGTGCGATCCCTGTGCGGACACCTGTAATCGTAATGACCGGATAGTAACTATAGGTGCCCATAAGTATATACTTAAGCAGTTTCCTAAACACAGATAGTCACCGCGAGCGTTCAAAAGCCAGCTCAATTATACAAGGATCTCGCGCATCGTTTACCGTCGACACTATAAATAGAAAAGTAAAGCGACTTTGTGAAGCTCGTTCGTCTAAGCTAATGCTCTGCTCACGATGCAGTCATTCCAGTATCTGAGAATATTCTTACCGTTGTCACCACGAAGAGCTGAGTGGTATTAGGCAGCAAGGAATTTCCAGGAATCGTTGCTTCTTGCGAAAAGTACTTGAAGTGTACTGCTTTGATTCCACATAACTGGCAAACCATTATTCTTGACAGTTTTAAGTGTACATAAGCTCGAGATGAGTTTTACGCGTCGAGCAGACGGGGTCATCTTGCGCACGAAGTAAGTGTTCCCTCATTCTGGGGTATGGGTTGTGCAAATTCTTTAGTCTACCCTTGCACCGTATTTCATTAACTGACATCGTGCCACATCAATATAGAGGAAACATCACAGTTATATGTGGCGCTACTCTGGTTCGATACAATGTGATCCAAGGTAAAATCCTCCTTCTGTGCATTGTATTGTATGTCAAATTGTTTACGCAGCGGCTCCCTTCGACGCCGCCGCTACCGGACGAAGGAAATGAAAGCGAGAGCAGCAAATTTCAGGACGCAATCGAAACAAGACGTGGCATTGTGTATACGATATAATTGAAACAAAAAAATAATAATCTGGCTTTTTAGTTTTTAA